ACTACAACTCCCAAATGACAAAATCCACCCCACCCCCCAACCCACCAGTATTCAGATCTGGCCATATTTGCCAAATTTGTTCCAGTGACTGAAAATGCATCCTGCATATCAGATATTTACATTACGATTCATAACAGTAGCAAAATCACAGTTATGAAGTAGCAATGAAAATAATTTTATGGTTGGGGGTCATCACAACATGCAGAACCGTACTAAGGGGTCGCAGCATTAGAAAGGTTGAGAAACACTGCTTTAGACAAATGGCCTTGACTGGGTATTCTAGCCCAACTAATAGATCTGGGAAGAACACAGAAAGCATCCTTTAAGGATATAATGACATGCTGATGCCATCCATAACTAAGCAACGGGTACCAAATATCATCCTACCACTGCTCCATTACAGATGGCTTCAGCGTGCTTTATGCTTCTTAGAAAATGAGTATTGAGCATTCCTTATCAGGAATTCCAAAATCTAAAATGCTCCCAGGTCCACATGGGTAGCTAAGATAGTTACAGCTTTGCTTTCTGATAGTTCCATCTACACAACTTTGTTTCATACACTACATTATTTAAAAAATATTGTAAAACTTACTTTCAGGCTATGTGTAGAAGATGTATATAAACCAGTGGTTTTCAGCCTGTGATTCCCCAGGTGTTTTGGCCTACAACTCCCAGAAATCCCAGCCTGTTTACCAGCTGTTAGGATTTCTGGGAGTTGAAGGCCAAAACATCTGAGGACCCATAGGTTGAAAACTACGGATATAAACAATAAATACATTTTGTTTTTAGATTTGAGTCCCATCTCCATGATAGCTTCTTGTGTACATACCCAGATATTAGAAAATCTGAAAATAATCTAAACTGCATTTGGTCCAAAGCATATTGGATAAGTAAGTATTTTGGATTTCATCTTTCCTGATGCTCAACCTGCACTTTTTTGTATTGAAGAACTTAACTGTCTTCCATTATACTTTATTCCCAAAGAGAAGGTCAGAACTGGAAAGCTGCAAAGTACTCTCTCCCCAAGAAAATATTCCAGGCTACCATTTAAAAGTTCCCACAATGCTTCAAAGTAACATATATACATTAATTGTTCAGGGACCTCATAGCATTTTGAATGACAGCTTTTATCCACTGCCTTTGATATCATTCCAGACAAGGGATATCAAAAAGTTTAGAAAGTTAATTTTTGAAATTATTTCAAAAATAATTGAAATAATTGACTAAGGGCAACCTCGTGGTTTACTGTTAATTAACATTGCTTTGAAAATTATTCATAAGGAAACGCTTAAGGAATGATTTCATAAGTGGCATAAATCATAAACAATCCTTATCTATATACATAAAAATGTAATGTTCATTTGTGGTATTAACAGAACTGAAAAACCACTGGACGAATTGACACCAAATTTGGACACAAGACACCTATCGGGTCAATGTATGTCCTTCACTAAAAAAATAATTTTGTTATTTGGGAGTTGTAGTTGCTGGGATTTATAGTTCACCTACAATCAAAGAGCATTCTGAACTCAATCAACAATGGAATTGAAGCAAACCTGGCACACAGAACTCCCATGACCAACAGAAAATATTGGAAGTGTTTGGTGGCCATTGACCTTGAGTTTGGGAGTTGTAGTTCACCTACATCTAGAGAGCACTGAGGACTCAAACAATGATGGATCTGATTCAAACTTGGCCCAAATACATCATATGCCCAAATATGAACACAGATGGAGTTTGGGGGAAATAGACCTTGACATTTGAGAGTTGTAGTCACTGGGATTCACAGTTCACCTACAATCAAGGAGCATTCTGAACCCCACCAACGACAGAATTGGGGCAAACTTCCCACACAGAACCCCCATGATCAACAGAAAATACTTAAGGGCATCCAGTCCAACTCCCTTCACCAGGACAAGAAATGTAATCAAAGTCCTCCTGACAAAGAGCCATTCAGCCATAGATATAGATTGATAGATATGATTCACACACACATACACAGATAGAGTATCATAGATTTGAAAGGGACCCTTAAAGAAGGACAATGATACGTCGCATGTTCCAGGGTGGGGAAACCAGACACTCTCCACATCAACACTGACAAAGAAACAGCAAGAAATACTGTTTACCCACAAGAAGAAAGAAATTACATATATAAGAAACCAACACTTTCTCGTTACTTTATTTTCCAGATCAACAGACTGGGCCACAGCAACGTGTGGCAGGGGACGGCTAGTAATGCTATATAATGTCTAATAAAATCCATGAAAAATAACATTTAAAAATAATTTGAAAATATTACTCATTACAATTACATTCCCCAGATCCTAAGAGCATTCTCATCTGTTACATTACCTGTGAAATATTATTTATTTATTTTGGATATTTATATCCCGCCCTTCTCACCCTCGAAGGGGGAGTTAGAGCGGTTTACAATTGGCACTCATTGGATGCCACACAAACAATAACAATCAAACCACAGTTAAAACATTAGCTAAACAATAAATTAAAACATTCATTTAAAAACTAAAAAATCCAAGACCAAATTCACATCCACATCCAAAGTCATAGTCCAAGATCTGTCTATTGTCCATTATTAATATAACATGATTGCAGCATTGCTGAAAGCTGAATTGTTTGCAATTTCTCACTTCCAAGTTTGTTGGAAAGAGGCACATATAAGGAATAGAGGAAGTCACGGAAGAAGGGAAGTCATCATGATAGGAGCTGGCCTTGAGAAGGGCTCTCTTCTCACAACAACAACAACAACAACAACGACTCAGGACAGATTCCAGCATATACAAAGGCAAACATTCAATGCCTAGAAACAGTGATATACAAGTAAAGATAAAGGCTTCCCCTTTCATTTCCAACTCTGGGGGTGGTGTTCATTTCTAAGCCGAAGATCCTGCATTGTCCATAGACACCTCTCAGGTTACGTGGCCAGCATTACTGTGTGAAGTGCTGTTTACCATTTTGCCAAAATATTGATCTACTCACATGTTTGCATGTTTTTGAACTGCTAGGTATTTCAGTAGCTGGGGATAACATCAGGAGCTCACCCCATCCCATGGATTTGAACCCCCAACCTTCTGGTCAGCAAGTTCAGCAGCTCAGCGGTTTAACCCATTTTGCCACCACAGCCTCTTTGCCACCGCAGCCCATTATATTTGGCTTTGCACAGGTTCACCATTAGTTATAAGACTTAGCTAAGTTGTACTTACCCACATGCCCATAAACAATTCCGAGTATTTACAATTCTCATTTTAATTTAGTTACTTAGCAGGAAATCATATCCCTAAAGACTATAAAAGGAAATAGTACTCCTTTGGTGCTACAGCATGGAAGAATGGCTGCATTTCCTTGTCCTAAGAATTGCTACAACTCTTTTCTCCCCCTTTGCTGACAATTATAGGTATAAAGAATACTTTCACATTTTTAATGCTCAGTGAGAAAAGAAATCTAGGCCTTTCAAGATGTCTCATTTTATAAAATTGGATAGCTATCACAAGATCTTTTTTCTGCCTTTGCGGACTTTATAGCAAGAAAAGGTATTTGCATAAAACCTTCATTTTTACATAGAAAGCAGTCTTATAATAATAAATAATAATAACACTAGGTTCTTGTGGGTTTTTTCGGGCTATAGGGCCATGTTCTAGAGGCATTTCTCCTGACGTTTTGCCTGCATCTATGGCAAGCATCCTCAGAGGTATAATAACACTTTATTTGTACCCCGCTACCATCTCCCCAAGGGACTCGGTGTGGCTTACATGAGGCCGGGCCCGAATACAACAATACAAGCAAAACAACAAAAGTACAAGCAATTAAATAAAGCATAGACAATAAAATATACAACATTATCAATAAGACAACATGCCATTAAAAACAGTGGGAAGGCCAAATGTAAAGTTAAAATGGAAATAATGCTGGGACATGGACGAAAGGTGATACTGGTGTTTGT